GTTTTCTTTTAATGTCCAGTGTGGAAGAAAGGGCTGGAGCTCCTCCTGGCCTGCTTCACAGGTTCTCAATGGGCTGGTGAGGCCAGTACGGGTACTTCTTCTTGTCCAGCTTGGTTTCTGGGAAGACTTCATTCAAATCATCAATGGTCATTTGATCAAAGGGAATGATGTTCTTAATCTTCTCCAGCTGCTTCTCATATTCCTGGATCCTGACCTGGGATTCAGACACAAATGCAGCACAGTTCTTCACATCCTCCTTCTCCTCGCTGTCTACCAGGGCTGTGTACTTATCCTCAGGCACTGGGATCTTCAGGGCATTATACTTCTTTTCAAAGTCATCCACCAAGCCAGCCTTGGCCACATTGGCCTTGTAATACGCCCAGTCAATCGCTGGTGGTTTCTCAGGCAGATTGGCCAACCTGGTGTGGAGGGTCTCATTTCAGGACTTCAGGGAGTTCGCAATTGTCTTTTGGTTTCGGAGTATGATCTCCACAAAAGACACCCAATCAATGGTTTTTAGAGCAAGTTTACGGCCAGCCATCTTGCAATCCTTCACCGACCCCAGTGCAGCAGAGCGCTGTCAGCAGCAGCGAGGGACTGACGGCATTTACGGTTTTTAAAAGTTTATTATTATTATTATTATTATTATTATTATTATTATTATTATTATTTATCATTATTTTTATTTATCATCACTATTATCATTATTATCATCATCATTATTGGGATAGAGAGATGGCTCACTGACTAAGGCTGCTCTTCCAGAAAATATGGCTTCAATTCTCAGCACCCACATGGCAGTTAACAACAACTTGTAACTCAAGTTTCAGGGCATGTGACATCATTTTCTGGCCTCCAGAGGCTCCAGACATTCATTTGATACAGAGACATGTGTGCACACAAAGCAGTCATACACATAAAAATAGTTAAAGACTTTTTATTTCTATTTACTTATGTGTCTGAAAGAGCACACACTCCTGCATGTGCATTCAAGTGCTCACAGAAACCAGAAGAAGATGTCAAACCCCCTGGAGCTAGAGTAACAGGTGTTAATGAGCTGCTGTGGGTGCTGGGAACTGAACTCCAGACTTTTGCAAGAGTAACAAGTTCTCTTAAATGCTGAGCTATTCTGCCCTCAGACTACTGTTTTAAACTCATTTTGTTATGTATATATAGTTTCTGGTTGAACACAGTGGGAATGGTAATTATCACTGTTCTATAATATTCGTGGAAGACTGATGGTGGGAAGGATGAATCAATCACCTAAATTAACTCCACTCACATTTCTGGCATTACCATGTCTGTTACATGAGACCTCTGTGTTTGTCAAATAAAAAACTTCAACTTGACTGATCCAAGTTACCTGCTGAGTAGAGTATGATCATACAGGCTTTACTGTCACCCAGTTCTTAACACTGTAGTTCAGGGATCCAAAAAAGGTACCTCGCAAGGTAAAGACTGTATTGACTGTTAGGATCTAACCTTGGAACTCACTGTCAGATTACCTGCATTCCATTAGTTCTGAGGAACTTAAAATTCTACCAGATTTAATGGAAAAGAAAAGTAGACCCCAAGTCTTTCTAGAAGAATGTCAAATTCTGGAGGGGTGTGTGAGATGAGTAATACTTTGTGTGTGTAAGATGTGTGTACAGATAAGTGTGCGTGTCTATGATATATGCATGTGTGTATAGGTGTGTGTGTGATGCACACACACGTGTGATTTGTGCATGGATATGTCTGCATGTGTGTATGGTATGTGCATGTACATATATGTATGTATGGTTTGTGTGTGCGTGTGCATGCAGATTCCTGTGAATTAAGTGTCACCACTATCAGAGAACAACCAGAGGTGTGGGTCCTCTCCTTCCACCTTGTTCAGGCAGGTCTCTTGTGGTTGTACCTCTGTATATGCCCGGCCACCACTGCATATGCTAGGCATGACAGATACAGCTTCTGAGGGCACACACGAAGATCCTTACACTTGCACAGCACAAGCTTTACCAATCTACCCCTCTGCTCAATTTCCAGAACCATTACATGTTCTGGGAACTGAATAGGAACATATATAACATGACATAGGATTAATCACACTATATGGCTTATGTATATTAACAATTGTCTCAGAAACAAATTTAAAGAACTTAGCATTTTTATTCTGGAGAAATTAGGTTTCAGTTTGTAGGCATGAGGTTTCAGTTTGAAGTTTGACTTTTTTTTTTTTTTTTTTTTTTTTTTTTTGGTTTCAGCTCAGGCCTTGCTTTAAATTACTCTGTGATTTAGAAATATAGATATATGGCTTTATTGGGGAGGCTAAATAGCAGGTATAGTAGTGCCGGTAAAGAAAGGCTATTAGTAAGCAATTGCAATATAAATGAAAATAACAAATGAGTGAAATGATTATCTACGTGTCAAATTGCTCAAGCTCAGTAAGGAAAACAGAAGAATGAGGGATGAGTCTGAAGTAGGTAAGATGGCAGTGATCCCAGACTTGGGAATACGGGAGGGACCAACACATACAATAAAATAGGCCCTGTTAGATGGTACTACAAGTTCCGTTGGTCTGGTCATGGGAGGTGTTTCTTCTCTATGGACAGTTTTGAAGCTGAAGATCAAGATAAAGAGTGTCCAAAGCAGATATGACACAAAATGGAGTACTCACTCCAATATCCTTACTTAAATTTGGATGCATTAGTTCTAAGTTTTCTGAAGGACAGAAAAGTACAATGCCATGCAGTTTAATTTTCATCCCCAGTAGGAAAACTGTAGCCAGAACACTGTTTTCTCTCTTTAATGACTACTTCTTCTGTGTCCTGTTATATTTTTAAAGAGACTCATACTTCCTCCTACCAACTCCTGAGACATTATCAATTAACCACACACAGCCCATCGAACACAGCAGAGCTGTAATTAAACCAAATTGCCATGTAGTAGCTTTCATTACACAACGACATAGATTTTGTTAGGGCCATAGAGAGAGTTTAATTACACGTCTAGACAGCCCCTGAAGTCAGAGTAGCAGTGTTATCTTTGCATCTTTAAAGGGAAACTTGAGCTTTTGATGGCTGCATTTTAAAGAGATATGTGATAAGGTATATTTAGGGGATCTATCTGTTTCTTTTTAAATTCCACACTCTACTTTAGTGCATACTTAATCTAGGAATTGCTTGGATGTCTGTGAATAAGAGAGGTTTTGAGGGGAAATGTACAAATTTCCACTTCTTCCCATATGTGATTTACCTTTTATTTGAAGCCAAGTAGTTTTTTCTCTTATGTATCCCAATGCCAACGCCTCCTTTTCCTTTTTACCCCTTTCTCTTGTGTGCATCCTTATGCACATGCATGTGTCATGTGTTTGGAGGTCAAAGGACAATCTCAGATCACAGCCCCATCATTGATTTTGCTTGAGAGGTGTCTTGCTCGTTTTGCCTGCTCCAGGCTGCCTGGCCAGGCATCCCAGAATTCTCCCATCTCTACCTCCCATCTTGTCAGAGGCGCAATGGGATTTTAGATGTAGCACTGTACGTGACTACTGAGGATCCTAACTCAGTTCCTCACAATTGTATAGCACATTTGTGTAGCACACTTGTGTAGCATACGTGTGAGCACACTCTACCTACCTCTTTGGCCACTCCCCAGCCTCACTCTTTTCAGCATATAAAGCATTAACTGTTGTGTCAGACACCATCGTCTTCAACACCATTCCTTTACCTTTGAGCAGAAGTCACCTGTCACAAGGCTGGGGTGTCATCCCCAGCTCTGCCCCTTTGCCTCTTGGATCCCAAGACTGTACAGACATTTCCTTTGTGCCCACTCTGGATATTGTCTTTCTCGTGCTAATGCTTGCTGCTTATTTCTTAGTAATTGCAGACCATTTTTTGTCTTGTCCCACACTATACATTATTTTTAATATATCTAATTACCTAAAAAATATCTGTAGCCTCTACACTAAAATCTCTTTTCTCAAACTTGACATCATACAGTGAAAATGAGAAAATAAATTGATCACATGTATCGTTTTTAAACATCTCAACATCCCCTAGGGAAGCTGCCTCCCAGCATGCACTTGCTCTAATCCTACATGCACATGAGTTTTATCTGCTGTTCATTTGTTGATTACGTGTATGCTACTTCATTTTTCTTTGTAGTCTTGTATTTGTTCATAGGCTTATATTCTGTCAGCATAAAATTTGCCTCTTTAAAACTGGGCCTCTTTACCATTGCTTTCTTGTATGACAGTTATTTAAAGTGGTAAGAATCCATTTAATTATTGCTGTCAAAAGAAATAAGTGTTTCATTAAAACTTTAACTAAGTGAATGATTTTAAGTTTTGATTTGAATTTAGGAGAAAATGGTGTAGGTAAAACCAGTGTCATGGTACTGATTTTTAGGCATATGTTTACTAAAATGTTACGAACAACATATGTGTTTTGAACATGTTGGAAAGAGAATATCTACCCTTATCTATCCTCTCTGATAAACTAGGAGACTCATTCCATAGCCAGAGTGAAAATTAGAGTCTGGGTGTTCTTTATTGACTCTCACTCTTGCTGACCACTCTAACCAGACACCCCAGATTTCTCTAGCCAAAAGCATCCAGCACTATCCTCTCTGCCAGCATCCCATTTCCAAGGAAAATTAATGACAGCTTCCTTGTGCTTTGTTGGAGAAAAATCCAAGGAACAAATTGGGATAATGATAGGAAGAAATTGGACTATTTGGAAAACAATTTGGAAGTAAAATGGACAGGATGTAGTTATGAATTTGATAGAGGCAGATGAGAAATGAGAGGATCGGTCTCAGCTCACTGCAGGCCTCCCTAGGAAGGCACTCTGCTACTCATGTGTACCCCAACACTTTCATTAATCTCTTTACTTGAAACATAGTTTTCTTGTGATATTTATTTTAAAAATCCTAATGTGTGTTGTTGAGCCATAAGGTTATGATAGAGCTGAACCATAAATAAATAAAATTATACAGCTGTCCCTTATTTTCCTATGCAGTACCTGCATGAAAATGGAATTGTCCATCGTGACCTCAAACCAGAGAATCTTCTCTATGCGACTCCAGCCCCAGATGCACCTCTCAAAATTGGTAAGAAAGTTTTCTAGTCATTTAAGGACCATTTTCCCAGAGCAGAAGCCATTTGTTCTAAATTTTGTTCTCGCCAGGATTTCCTCAGTTCATTTTCCTTGAATTCTTGGCATTTGTTAGTTTGTGCCCTTTTTTTTTGGGCTGTTCACGTGATGCTATGCTCTAGAATTCCCTAGCCCATTGCTGGACCCTCAAATGACCCCCAGACCTGGTGCTTAGTAATGATGAGGACCTCAAAAGATACTCTTGTGTTTTTTAAATGAGTTTGTAGTGAAAAAGGTGACTTGTTTTTTGGTTCTTAGCTTTGAATTGACAAATTATTTGGAGCTTACCCTTGTAAAATGAAGAACTTTAATACAAAATACTTGGTACAAATTAGTGAATGTAGACTCTGAATCTCTTGTTTATTTTAGCAGAGAAAACTCAAAGACCATATTTTCAAATTGTTATCTGCAGGATGCTGTTGCTAAATCAGTTAAAACCCCCTGTTTTGTATGTGTGTTTGTGGAGGATATAGTTTGACAAAGGGTCTGTGGTTGGTCAAATAAATTAGAAAATGTCAAATGAAATAATATTTTAACTTCTGCATTGTATTAACTTCTGCCATATGGCACCTTAAAATACTAATGTGTAGACCAACATAACATGACTGAATCTACAAGACTTTCTCAAACTGTTGACTCTAGAATTCCACCCCATATTACATTCAGACAAATGATAAAGATGATCTTTGGGCAACTCTTATCTACCCATTGAAATCAGTCCTTTAGGAGAAAATACATTTTATATTCCATATACTTGATAAAGCAAATTTTCATTTCCAAAGGCAGTTGTGAGTTGTTAAGAGATGAAATCTCCTCAGCAGATGTGTGTAAAAGCCTCTGAAGGTTGTTGGGCTACACTGGGCTCTCTTTCGGAGCTAAGCTGATGAGTCCACTGCGTTGAGTGTTAACAACTTGTTCTACCAGGGAGGAGTTCAGGCAGCAGAGTGTGAGAACTTAAAGAATCATCCTCACTGTTTACTCCAGAAAGACAGTGGACAGCAGTGAGTCCTCGTTTCTTTTGACATCACTTTCAAACATTTGATCCTTAAAGAAATCTACTTGGATGAATGGATAGATACTAATTTGGGGAGGAAAGCCTTTCTTTCTGCAGGGCTGCCTGTTGTGTTCAGTGATACAGGCAGGCACCTTGTGGAAATGTGGGTGTATCTTTGAAGTCTAAAATGGCATCATTCTGCACCTGCCTCCCTTGGAGAATGACCTTGGGCAGCTTTCTGACTGGCTCATAGGAGAGGTCACTCAGCAAAAAAGGTCACAATTGTAGCAACTTGTATAATATTTTACCTAGGTAGTCTACAGAGGAATAAATAGAAAGAATTTGGGGCCCCAAAAAGTTTTTACTCATTATATGAACATAGTTATTATCTGTTAAAACATTGGGAGCTGGTGTTATTTATTTTCAGCCAGGATAAACTTTTGACATTTCTGTGTATCTCCATGGCATCTATGAAAATCTGTACTTTATTTTGCCAGTGAATTGCAGACTCTGAATTATATCACTATGCCTGTACTCTCTGTGACTCTCATGAATTCTTATTGTAAACATGGCAGTTACAGTTCTTAAAAAAATGTCTTTACATGTTGATATATTTTGAGATTTTAGGAAAAAGCAAGCATCATAAATTATTTGTAAATGTATTTATGAGTCATGTTTTTCCAAGTTAAAGGAATGAATTACTGTTTTTTTAGCTTTGGAAAAGTGACTTGTTTCCACCCACATCCACCCACCATCAGATCAGGAGTAAACAAATACGTTAGTTTTGTTTTTGAAAAGCAGAAGTACTTGTAAAAGCTGAGAACAATCTTGGCACACTAAATTTTTCTCTTGTGTTTCTAGCTGATTTTGGACTTTCTAAAATTGTGGAACACCAAGTGCTTATGAAGACAGTGTGTGGAACCCCAGGGTACTGCGGTATGCTCTTTAATGCTGACATTTTACCTTTATTGAAATCTATTTTTACCTAATGACCTGATTTTACTTTAACTCCCAATGTCTCTATTTATTTATGTTTCAATGTGGTCATTAAATGGCTTGGCCTTGGTCACAGCATGACTAAGGCGTATATAAATGATACTTGGGTCACCTTTTGTCTTTCCTGTGGGACTTAGTAATATGGAATGTAGGACACCAATGTCAGAGTACCTGTTGGATCACAGCTACTTTAGGAGCCTTATGTGCAGGAAAGGCAGCCAGTAGGGAACAGGGCAGGGGAAAAGCAGGGTGTTTGCTTGCAGTTAGAGCCACTGGCCCTTCCTGAATTTTTTTGGCTTTCCTTAGGAGGGTGTGTAATGAGAGTGGATGTATTAATTTAGATGGTATACAAGACAATGAGAATGAGGCAGCTGCTCATGTTACCAGAGCTCACAAGCAAAATAGCCTGTCTGTGGGTCTGGCCACTCAGCAATATCAGGAGAAAATGACATAAAATATATAAAGTGGAAAAACAGATTTATTTCCAGTCTTCTCCAAACCAAGGAAAGCAGTTCATCACAGTCTGTCTCTGCATTCCCCATAGCAGTTTTACAGTTTATAGAAGGGTACAACAGAGCTAGGGAATAGGCATTTATAGATTTCAGCTATGGATCCCAACAATCAGGCTAAGTGATGCCTTCCTCCTGACAGTGGCCAGGGCTTAAAGAGAGATGCTGACCCTGACCTTAGTATGATGTAATAGTTCTTGTAGGAACTGGAATGAGAAAGACAATTATGAGAAAACCCCTATTTGAAGATTCATGATACATTAATTAGGTTAGCTGCAGAACTGCCTAGCAGCATTTGCTAGGAAAAGTGGGCAGTGCTAATGACCCTCCCTCCTCTTGTCTTGTTACTCAGGACGAGTGGAAGGCACAGTGTGTCGAGTCCTCAGTTCACAGACAGAAAAACTTTTGATTCATACTAACATGAGCAACTCTTCCCTTTTTATGACTAAATTAAGTTAGCAACAACATAACCAGAAATAAAACAGCTTGCAGACATTACCAAGTGTTCCTAAAATTGGTGGTCAATGAATATGCAACAAATCAACTAAAATTTTGACTCTAGCCAAAAAAAAAAAAAAAAAAAAAAAAAAGAAAACAAAAAAAAAAAAAAAAAAAAAAAAACTTGAAGTCATCACTTGAAAGATGAGTCAAAATCTCCTGGCATCAGAATCTTTTCACACAGTACAGTTCTCACCTCTTCAGCAAACACTTATTAATTCCTGCTGTATACACAGATCACTGCCTCACACAGGAAGAATGTATTTGGCACTCACTCCACTGGAGAGCCTTAACTGTAAGAAGCAAAACTCAAAATACACATTGTCAGAATTAATAGTACCTGGAAATCCCTTCTCTATCTCCACGTTTATATACACATTTTGTAATTTTGCTTTTAATGGGGTAGTTTTCCTGATGGGTTAAAAAAATACTTCCTTATAATTTTATTTTTCATAAATACAATAATATCACAAAATTGGGTACTTATCTTACCCAGTGTTTATATTGAGTCAAATATTCTTGTTCTAGATCATATGTCTTCTGAGGTTGAGTAGCAATGTTGGTTAGTAGTAAGTTCAGAAAACTTAATGTAACTATGGTTTAGCATCCAGAGGCATAGGACATTTCCTGCTTGACGATGTGCACTAGACATAACCAGGAATGGACCTGGGAAATCTCAACAATATGGTTGTTTGAGTAACACTGTCATAATGATACCACCAATTGCCAGTGTGGACAGGAAAATTGCATATGGTCTCACCCCTGTATGAGGGGCTTCAGGTGTTCAATGGCTACTGAGAGAGGGAAAATCATTTTCTTCCATGGATGACATCCTATGTACAGTCCCATCCCAAGTGGTCAGTTCTGGACCAGTGTATATATAAGCAAAGGAAAATGACTCCAGATGTTTTATGTACATGTTCTCAATAATGACTAAAGAAGAGATCGTGGACTTGTGGGGAAGTGGGGAAGGGTGTGGGATGGAGAAGGGAGAAGGAGTTCACACAAAACTGTCTTAGACAGTAGTTAGTTATGGCTTAGACAAGGTAGAGGATTCTCATGTTTGGAGTCTAAAGATAAGCAATCCTGAGGGTTTCCACAAATATGGCTGTGCAAGTGCTATTGATTTCTGTCAGGGATTCGGACTTGTCTCACAGTCCAAGTTAGCTGCTTGAAATCAGTCATCATTTCTGTGTTCCTGTAGTCAAACAGACATGCTGAAACCCACATGTCACTTCTGCTTATCATATTGCCCGAGTGTACTAACAGCTCCTATACTCTTGGAGACTCTGGCAATGTTCCTGTTAATGGAACATTATTGCCCTTCATTAATTGAGGGTTCTGTTGCTAAGTGACTTCATGCATTTTCAGGTGCTGTGACAAAATATTTTAGACAGGGTTACAAACAACAGAAACTTACTTCTCTCCATTCTAAAAGCTTGGCAGTCTGATGTTAGCATAGTTTTCTGGCCCAGCAGGGTCATACTGCCCTGCAGTCCCAAATGAACACTCAGAGACTTATATCAATTATAATACTGTTGACTGATGGCTTGGGCTTCTTATTGGCTAGCTCTGTCTTAATTATTAACCCATAACTACTAATCTATGTATTTCCACGTAGTCTTGGCTTACCAGAAAATATTGGACCTGCAGTTCCTTTGCCCACTACATCACAACTGATTTTGATGGGCTCTCTTGCCTACCTTTCCCAGACTTCTCCTTCCCTCCTACTTCTTTCATCTGTCTTCCTGCCTCATTGGCCATTGGCTCAACAGTGTTTTATTCATCAAACAATAAGAGAAGCATACACAAAGGGACATCCCCTATCAATATGAGATCAAGAAACTGGCTGATTAGTCTTTTATCAAGAGTCCTGCTTCCTGTTAGATATTTTGTCTTCATGGGGTGATAGTGAATAGTTTCTCTTAAGCCCGTTCTGTAAATGCTAATTCTATTCCCATAGGCTCTGCCCTGAAAGTCTGACTCTCACAGCAAAGACCCCACCTCCTAAATCTGTCACCTTGGGGACATACAGATTATGACTTTTGAGTCAACACAGATACTTAGCCCTTTTGTGTGTGGTTGGAATGTTTAACCCAATTGAGACATAACTTCTGTTAGTTCTTTGGTTTCTTTGTTAAGTTTCTGACTGGTAGTCCTGTCTAACAGTGAGAGTGGGGTGTTGAAGTCTCCCATTATAAGTGTGTGAGGTTTTATATGAGCTTTGAGTTTTAGTAGCATTTCTTTTACGAATGTTGGTGCCTTTGTATTTGGGACATAGATGTTCAGAATTGAGACTTTGTGCTGATGGATTTCTCCTGTGATCAATATGAAATGACCGTCTTCATCTCTTTTCATTGATTTTGGTTTGAAGTCTAACTTGTTAGATACTAGGATAGCTACACCTGCTTGTTTCTTGGGTCCATTTGATTGGAAGATCTTTTCCCAACCATTTACCCTGAGGTAATGTCTGTCTTTGAACTTAAATGTGATTTCTTGTATGCAGCAGAAGGATGGATTCTGTCTTCGTATCCATTCTGTTAGCCTGTGTCTTTTTATAGGTGAGTTAAGACCATTAATCTTGAGGGAAAGTAAGGACCATGCTTGTTTGTTTTAGATTTCTTGGCGGTGGTGGTATTGTAAATATATTTGCCCTGCTTTACCCTTGGGTTCTTGTATAGTGAGATTATCTATTGCCTATGTCTTTATGATCGTAGTTGACTTCCTTGGGTTGGACTTTTCCTTCCAGAACTTTCTGTAGGGCTGGATTTGTAGATGTGTATTGTGAAAATCTGGCTTTGTCATTAAATACCTTGTTTTCTCTGTCTATAGTGATTGAGAATTTTGCTGAGTATAGTTGCCTGGGCTGGCATCTGAAGACTCTTAGTACTTCTAGAAACTCTATCCAGGACCTTCTGGCCTTGAGGATTTCCATGGAGAAGTCAGGTGTAATTTTGATAGGTCTGCCTTTATATATTACCTGGCCTTTTTCCTTTGCTGCTCTTAATATTTTTCTTTATTCTGTATGTTAGGTGTTTTGAATATTATGTGTCGAGGGGGTCTGTTTTCTTTGGTCCAGTCTATTTGGTATTTGGTATGCTTCTTGTACTTCCATGGGCATGTCCTTCTTCAGATTGGGAAAGTTTTCTTCAATGATTTTGTTGAATATGCTTTCTGCACCTTTGAGCTGGGATTCTTCACCTTCTTCTATGCCTTTTCATAGTGCCCCACATTTCCTGGATGTTTTGTGTTAAGAATTTGTTGGACTTAAAATTTTTCTTTGGTTGATGAATCTATTTCCTCTAGTTTATCTTCCATGCCTGAGATTCTCTCTTCCATCTCTTGTATTCTGTTGATTATGCTTGCGTCTGTAGTTCCTGATTGTTTGCCCAGCTTTTCTATTTCAAGCATTCCTTAAGTTTGTGTTTTCTTTATTGTCTCCATTTCAGTTTTCAAGTGTTGAACTGTTTCCCTCATCTGTTTGATTGTTTTTTCTTGGATTTCCTTACTTTCTTTAAGAGATTTGTTCACTTCTTGCATTTTTTGCTTGGTCTTTTCATCTATTCCAATTTTTTGTTTATTTTTTTCTTCCATTTCTTTAAGGGATTTTCTCATATCATCTTTGAGGGCTTCTATCATGTTTGTGAAGATATTTTTTAAGTCGTTCTCTTCTGCTTCATCTGCTTTAGTGTGTTCAGGTCTAGTTGGTGTAGAGTCCCTAGATTCTGTTGGTGTCATGCTTGTCTTTCTATTGTTAGGTGTTTTCTTGTATTGCCATCTTTCCATCTTCCAGTGCATGCAGGTGGAGTCTCTCTCTCTCTCTACACTATTCCCCTGGTGGGCTTAGGTGGGTCTATAGCTCTGGGTGGTCCAAACTCTCTAGGAGTTCTCTCCTCAGGCAAGGGCCTGGCAATGGGGGTCAAAGATCATGCA